CTTACCTTAACGCCGTCGGGCGCTGATGTTTTGGGGTCAGCCCGCCCGACCCCAGCTGTGACTCCTTGTCGTGCTACCATTTTGAGCCCTCCCTTTGCTCGGGAAGCTCGGATGAGGCAGAGCCACCGGCACCCCTTGGCTCTGGGGCGCTGTAGAAGGCCCAGATGGAGCGAGGCAACTCGCTCCTACCGTCTCTAGGGGTGAGTCCTCCCCCTCTTGCTCTAGGAGATGCCATGGGAAGGGCCCTGCCTACAGCGAAGGCGGGTCCTCATCCTCGCTAGGCATATCATCCCATGGGATGCGCAACCCAGAGCCGTCGCCCCCCTCCTCTTCATCTTCCTCCTCATCTTCCTCCTCTGATGAGCCTTAGCGCCGCTTCCCCTACTGTAGCTTCACCCACTCCTTCCCTCACCATTTCTTCTCCTTGTCGTCCTTCTCCTTCTTCCGCTCATCTACGGCATGGTTCGCCGCCCTCATGGATGCATGCTCTGGCAGCGGCACGATAGAGGCTCGAAAGCCCAAATCCACTGGCAGCTCGATGAAGCCCGGCTTTGGCCGCATCACAGGATGTCCTAGGATCGGGAACACGGCGTCGGACTCATCTGTCGCTTCCTTGACATGCTACGCAATCTCGCTATTGCGAAGCGGCCCCTGAGCAAACACCGTACCGCTGATTTCCACGACATGCACCATCTCGAACAACGGGAGGGCGCGCACCATCAGCGGCGCCACCCTCCTCGCGTGATATGCTCCAATGACACCGGCCCCGCAAAGGTCGTGGCTCCTCAGTGACACGATGGTTTCGAGGATGTCATGTATCGTTTTCTTCTCCTTGATGGGTGGCCCCCACGGCCACATCGGCGGCGCCTCTTCGATCAAGCGCCCAGTGAAGTCCGGCAAGGGGGCGGCGGGGTCGTTCTTCAAGTAGAAGCACTATGCGTGCCACCCCTTGTTGGATCTAGACAACTGGCAGGGCATGAACTCGGCCGCCCGCTGCCCCTGGAGGTGGATGCCCGCGCATCCCATCGGCACCAGGATCTCCTCGCCTCTGTCCTTCTTCCTATGCAGGGAGACGGCGAAGAAGTACCTCCACAACTCAAAGTGCGGCTCGATCTCTAGGTACCCCTCGCACATCGCGATGAAGGCTCCGATGTGCTGGATCCCATTGGGATTGAGGTGCTGCAACACGACCTAGTAGTGGTGTAGTAGCCCCCGGAAGAATGGATGAGGGGGGATCGCGAGCCCGCGCTAGTGGAAGGGCGCGAAGGAGACGATATAATCGTTGGGCGACATTGGCACCTCCTCATGGCTGGGAACTAGCCACTCCATCACATCAGTCCTCCCGTGAAGAAAACTGCGTTTGACGAGGCCTCCCATGCGTGCGTGGGTGACATTGGTGCGGTACCACGACTCCATGGAAAGCGAACACGGAGGAGCGAGGACTTTTTGGCAATGGTGGAGAAGAAAAAGCTACAGATCTAGGGCGCTGGTGGCGGACTAGCAGAGGCAGTAGATCCGAACGATGACGACGAAAAGGCGGGAAGGCAAGATTGCAGTTTGGCACACCAAAACATGAAGGAGGAGCCTGCTATTTATAAGGTGGGGTGAGACGGGAGGCGAACCATCCGCCTAGATCGACGTGCCCGGCATGCCCTGTCACTTTACCTCTCCGGGAATCATGCACACACCACCCTCGGCCGCTCCTCGAAGGGTGCACCAGACAGCAGTTTGCCCCCTCGATGGGCTAAAAACCATAGCAGGTAAGTAGGGATACGGAGCTAAAAATGCTCCCACTGCCCATTAAGGCCTAGGAGTTTGAAGGTTGGCCCATCGATGGATTCACGACTGCTCTGGGGCACCTTTAGAGTGAGGGGTGGAACGGGATGGGCCTGCTAGCGGCCAGTACCCGGGCGCACGAGCGCCACGGGCATCCCGGCCCACGTTCAAGTCTTGACAGAGCACAGTCCATGATTTTTCCTCAAAGAAAGGCAACGAGCCCTCGGGACGGGTCGAACGGACCTAAGAACTATTTGGACTGGCCGTCAGGAATTTGGAGTCGGTCACAAGCTGACCCATGCCGGACCCCCACAAATGGGAAGCCAGGGCCCCACTCGAACTTGTCCGTTAATAGCTCACCAAGCACCATAGTTCGTCCATCGAGGAAAACATGGCACGGCTCAGCCCCTCCATTTTATCGAAGAAACGCTTGAGGGAGGATGACCTTAAGACGAGCTGACCTCTCGACCAGACCCTTGCTGTGCGCGGGGGCTCAAGAGTTGGACTCACAAGGAGACCGAATACACGGTCACATAACAATGGCGGATCGGTTGGATCCTAGAGAGGAATCATAATCAAGAGAGATCTACTCTGATCCCCCGAATCGCGCAGTTACATGCTCCCGAGGAGTCCAAACACAAGGAATCTCGACCATACCAAGACATCCTACGACACGCAAAGGGAGATCAAGATCCCCAAAATCCTTCCGTCTAAAAAAGTCTTTGAAGGAGTATCCTACTCCTCTGTAGGCTCAGGGGCCACTATCGGGTATCAGTATCTAGGATACCCGGAAGAAGGAAGCTAATGGCCATAAATGCTAACACCCTCAGATGGTCAAGAGCGTATCTTGGTCTCGCCTGACCTCAAGGATATAGGATCCGGGTCACCCGACCCCAAGGGCACGGGCTCCGTCTCGCCCGACCCCTCGGGCGAGAGTCCCGTCACGCCCGACCTCTCGGGCGAGAGCCCCGTCACGTCTGACCCTGAGGGTATGGACTTTGCCTCGCCCGATCCCGAGAGCGCGGGCTCCATCTCGCCCGACCCCGAGGGCACAGGCTTTGCCTCGCCGACCCCTGAGGGCGTGGGCTCCCCCTCGCCTGATGGAGGTCCGTATCACCCCAACCACTATGGGTCTAAAAGTATGAGTCTAGGGTCAAACTTCTGACACCAGAAGGGGAGCAGGCGTGTATTGACGTGACCTACGGCCACGACGGGCCACGTCTGAGGACGCACATCGCCAATAGCATCGGGCGTGCCAGCGCTGTACTACCTACTCCCCGCACGGCCTCAGGAGGAGACGTCAATGAGCCATACCGTCCACTGGGACGGGATGGAGCGCCACAACCGGCTGACGACGCCTGCGTATGGCGTCAGTGACGAACAGGGCTGCGGCTTGGACCCGTCCCCATTGTCATCTACAGGGCCGGCGGGACCCGCGTAAAGGAGATGGAAGACGTTGCAATCCCGGAAGCCATCCTCTCCTTGTCTCTTTCTCTTTCTCTCCCCCCTGATGTAACCTGCATCTTCCCCTTCATCTATAAAAGGGGAAGCATGGCACCCCACGGAGGGGGCATTTTATTCCAAGACACATCTAACACGTCTAAGCGGCTAAGGGCTTAGGCACTCGATAGGAGACAAAGAGTTCAACCAGACTCACTCTTTTCACCAAAGGCTTGGGACCTTCTCCCTCTCTCGTCTGTTTGTAACCCCTACTACAAACCAAGTGCCGGTAACACGAGCAGCAGCAGACTGGACGTAGGGATGTTCCGCCCGAACCAGTATGAATCCTTGTCCTCGAAGCACAGCCATCCGGGTTAGACGCGCAAACTAAAAATTTACTAGCCGGTGATTCGAAACACTGACACCCGCACCTACGGTCATTTTTCGTGCCGTTTCACGCGCCCACGTGGGGCCCATGCCACCCCGAAGGTTACCAGCATCGATAAGAGAAGGCGGCGGTGGCGGATGCCCAGCCAGTGCCGAGAGGAGGAGACACCGAGGCGAGGCAGTAGAAGACGAGGAGGGAGTTTCAACACACAATATACTTTTGAAACATTTAGATGCGGCACTTGCAACATAAATCTGAAGGCAGATGAAACACTTGAAACATGCATCTGAAATACTTTAAAAAACACCTAAAAACATTTGAAACCATTGCAAAAAAAAACATACGCAACATCCAGATAAAACACTTGCAAACATATGTGTGAAACATATGCAATATCCAGATAAACACACTTGTAACATACATCTAAAAAATAGATGAAACATCGGGAACAAAGCTTGCAACATATGTGTACAACCATTGCAATATCATCTCGATCGACGCAATGCATCTACTTGTTGCTTGGACAAAAATGGAGGCTCATCGATGGGGAGCTCGACGTCGGCGTGGAGCTCGATGCTACGGAGTGGCGCGGAGGTTGCCGGTGTGGAGCTTGTCAGCGGCACAGACCTCGGTAGGGTCTGCGGTAGGCAGATGGAGCGCGACCGTAATGGGAGGCGCGAGTCCGAGGGGGCACGCGGGACGGCGCGCGTCTGGGGGAGGGCGACGCGGCGGCTGCATGCACTTCCTCGGCAGTGGTCGAGGTAGGCGATGGAATGTGACCATAATGGGAGGCGCGAGTCCGAGGGGGCACGCGGGGCGGCGTGAGTGCGCGGTGCGAGCGGGGGTGGGGGGGGGGGGGGGGGGGGGTCCGTCCCGCGAGCAGGGGCGACGCAAAGTGAGCTAGCGACGCGGACGCGGGCAGGATCCGATCGGCAAGGTCCATCCGGACGGACGCCCTATCAAAAGCATTCGTTCTTTTTATAAATGTTTAGCCAAACTAAAAATTTTTGACTACTCAAATATGAGTTTTGATGAGAGTTTGCCGGACTGCTGTTTCTATAGAAGTGGGGTATTTTTCATTTTTTTTATTGCCTGATATTCTTGATTCTGCAGATTTACACTGGCAGATTCTCTAGAGAAAAGGGCTGGGCAGAGACTCTTGGCTCAAAAGTTTTATACAACAAATAAAATTTCTAAACCACTCCGTTGGACTATTATACACTGCACGGCTAATTCAACATCTGCGAACACCTCAAAGCATAATTGTGTACAGTAAACACAAAATAGCTTCCAGGTCAGTGCCACATTTCCACGACCATAAAAGAAATCTATAGTATCCGATTATATTAAAGAGAATGGCGGGAGCATATTTTAGTGATACAACATAGGTAAAATTTTAATGATACAAAAGGACAAGTTTAGGCCTAATCTGAAGCCCTTGTGCAAAAAAATGACATCCATAGTGCAAATCAGGATCCTTTTCTCCAAATAAAATGGAACAGGATGTTGGATCAGCATTCCTTCGAACAATAATTCAAACCAATCGTGTATGCCTCAGGTACTGAAACCCTAAATACATTGTAGTGATGATTTAGACTTCTCTCCCCGTGCAACCTGTGGACTCCACCAAGTGCTCCGGTAACAGGATTGGGGAAAGCGTAGAACACGCGCTTGAATCTATGATGTACAAGTGCCATTGCACACCTTCAAATTAAAGTAGCACGTAAGTAAGATCAGCAGTAAGAGGAGAAAATGTGTGCCAGCTGGACGAAGATTGAACATACATTGTGCATGGTTCCCAAACAAGGTAGATATCAAATCCTGTGCAGAGATATGGTCTGCTGGTTTCAGACAAGTCACCGCAGAATGATTCAGATGCCGATTGCTCATTATCCTGATGTTTAAATTTGACCTTGTCAGAAAAAGGCAGAATAAATTGAATGCATTATTGCCAGTTTCATGCAACACTAAATAAGCAACTGCAATGAGAAATTATAAGAAGCAACAAGCTCACTTTTGTATCCGTCTTTAGCCTTTTCGCTGGTTCATTATCACAACAGTTCTCTGGATTGCCATTTGAATCTGGCTTGGTTATTGAAGTCGAAGACTCTATCCCTCTCAGCAGCATTTTCAATGGCAACCATGGGAGCATGTCTCAGAGGATGCCATGCAAAACAGCCATCACATGGCAATGGCTTCTGCCCACAAGTCCTTTTTTTCATCCATCCCCAAGGATTTATAGATGAAATTTCCATGTTCAAACTGTTGTGTTTAGGAAAAAAAGTTCCTGGCAGCGACAAATTGCTGTCATTATCAGTTGATTCATTCAAAGAACAGGTAACATCTGCTTTCGCTTCAGAAAACGCGTTCCCTTCTACAGGCATATCATGCTTGTGTGTCTGGTCCGTGGCCTTTGCAATTATTTGCATGCTTGACGGATCAACAATGATTGCAGCATTACCTGCCTAGTAGAGTTAGAGAACCAAAGTGGAAATTAGCAACAAAAAAAAATGATCAAACACCAAACAAACAAGGTAAAGATACAATTGTGTAAATAACAAAGCTTCGCAGATAAAGTATGCTTCATGAACAATTCATCATATTGCACCAAGGCAGATTTTGGCTGATTGAGTGAACCAATTAGCAAGTTTACGGATATGTAACAGCAAAATTTAATAGCTCATGGCCCTACTAAGTAATACCCCTGAAAAGTTTAAGGACTACCAGAGAGTGGTTACCTTTGATAACTGAATAGCAGTCTTCATGCAATTAAATATTGATGGTAATTCTTACTCTTGAAATCCATGGACAATATCAAGGCTGTAAGTTAACATAGGAGTCTAAGAAAACAGAAAATTGCATGAATACTACTCAGAAAATTGCAGTATCCACGCCTCCACGGAAAACTCTATTTTTATCATAAAATATAGTAAAATTTCATCCACAGGCAACAAAACTATGTACAATCCTGCCAATTTGATGCAAAAGTATGTTACTGACTTACTGTAATCACATCACATGCTGTAGCAAATTTTAACAATATTCAAGGAAAAGATATGATTAGTCATTTGTAAATCATGACCTAAATTTGAAGACAAACCAGAAGCCCACCCATGGTACTATGCATTCACCAAACATTCTAGGCCCTACAGCTATGCGCTACCAGCCAAAGTCAAAGCAACGAGCATTAATATTTTACAAATGCAACTGCCTAAAGAATAACTATGCGGCACATCAGAATGGAGCCATGCCGCTAGATAGCTAGTGTTTCAACATCAGATGGGGCAGATTTCCTGCAACCCTGGTTGGGCATCGAAAATCTTCAGAGAAGTGCTGTGATGGTAACTGAAACGTTATAGCTAGCAATTAGTTCCTTTTGGGCTTCAGCTACAGCATTATTTTCTTTATCTACTTGCAAGTTTGACCTAGAAAATCTTGTATGTTTGAGTGAACTAAACAGAAGTATCTTTAGAAGACAAGATTAATGATGTAAAAATACCACATCAAATGCATAATGTGGCAAGACAACAAGGTGTTTGCAGAATGGTGGAGCAGGGAAGGTGGACGCAGTGTGATGGTCATGCACTAAGAGATTTAATTCCGGGGTCATTCTAGGCACCTGGATGATCTGAAAGCACCGGAATGATGCCATCTCCAAATGGCTCACCCTCGATTCAACTCATGTGGTGCCTTGCCAGAGCTAAGGGCATGTTGTATTGTTGTCACTAGAGGCTACATGGATAGGCTGTGGTCATGTATGTATTAACAACAGGCACAATGTAATATGAGAAACTACTTGTAACAAGCTCTTTTCATCTTAATAATGCAATGACATGCAGTTCTCCTGCGTGTTCGAGAAAAAAAAAAGAGCATAATGTGACACGTAGTGAGGCCATACTCATGTGCAGGATGGTAAGATGTTGGCCAAAGTTTGCACTGTTCCTCCCACTCCTCTTTTGATGTAGCAAAACACTTGGCAACCTGTTGAAGACTTTTACCAATAGTAAACGTCAATATATGACAAGGGCACAAGGAAGCTAGATAACACCAGTCATTCCAAAGGATTCAAATTTTGGTGCATCTAGAGTGGTAAATATAAAAAAGTTAAGAAACTTTTATCAACAAGCCAGAATCACATGCTACACTTTCAATAAAAAATGACAAAATCAAAGCTTCCCAAAAGATGGCAGCATTGCTTTTGCAGTGAAAGGACTCAGCTGATAAGTATCCACTATCTTTTGTAGATCTTCAGAAAACTTTATGCTTTCAGACCCAGTAGAAACACATAGGATTATTGATAACTCAGATTTTCCTGCCAAACATAATATAACATAGAATTAGAGAGTTAATAAAGTTCTGCAACATAATTATAAGTTAAATAGCCAGCCTAGCTTACAAAAAATACAATGAGCTGCTCATTTTTGTTTCCATGCTACAGTGGTGGTTCTGCATTTCCTAACTTTAGATTAAGGTTTCTGGCATGATTACTTGTTACATGGAAGATGTAACTTGAAATATTGCTATTGTTAGTTTCTCAGTTTATGTTCCATCTAGAGTCACGATTCTTAGCCTTATTCTTTGTAAGTGTTCCGTATCTCTGATGGGCAAAGCAGAGGAGGACGCCTTTGAATAAAAGGATAAAATAATTACTTTTGCATGTGCAAACATTTACAGTATAAATAAATAAAAAAGCATCCAACAGCTTCCTTAAAAAAATGAACCTGCATCCCGGTGAAAAGCCTACTAATAATCATGCGAAAGTAAATTTTAATCAGTTACAAGGTTATTTTCCACTGCAAAATCAATTGTTTTTTATGCATCAATATGCTGGGGAGCATATCACCAGCTATGGCATGAGTATTAACATGTGTATTTAGATAGTCATGGCATGTCTTGCATGAGTAGTGCTCTCAAAAGGCAAACGAAAAAAAGAGAACAATATGAAGTGCATATACCACCACATTCAGTACGTTGACGTACACGCTTTACATGCCTAAGATTCTCCAAAGGGCATACCTGGCTTAACTGCCTGAAAGCAGCGAAACCAAGAAAACATCACTTGGAATGTTATCACACAAATTGGACGATTTTGGGTCAAACAGTGAACCCAGAAAAATGTGTCGCAACTTACAAAAGAGAGAGATTAGCATGTTTGCATCATAAAAAAAAAATCAAAGACAAAAAAGACCAACATGTCAACTGTATACAACCACCCCCATTCAGATAACAAACATGGGTCATGAGATCATGAAACTTAGCATTGATTTCATATTGACAGAGAGAACTAAATATAAACATTGGGATTGAATATCATCTCAAGTGGATCAAACAGGATTACTGAACTAAAAATGAATGGAGTACAGGAAACACAACAGCTAGTTCCTATCCCATAAGAGTTACTAAAGTTCAAAAATGAGATATCGTTTCATTTCCTGGACACCATTCCTCAACTGAAAGCACATCCCACCATCTATTATTTGAGCCAAAATATCATAAAAATAAGCGGATAGTGCCCCCAATTCTTGATAATTTAAGTAAAAAATCCCTAAGCAGTAAAGAGTATTACTAAAATGTTTCAAATTCAGACCAAAAGAACAGGGAAAAAAGGTCCTTTACCTAATGAGAGTATTGGCTAGCTTGGGATCAATCTTGGCGGCCACCACATCAACTGGCAAGGCAAAGAAACAGTTTTTAATAAAATGAAACAACAATAGCAGGAAAAAAAACTAACTTTGAGAGCAATTAAAGGGAATACCTGTAGAGTCTTGGAGAGAGGGATTCAGGTTGCCCGGGACCTCAATGAGCTCCCATGCCATGATGACCGATTCTCAATGGAAGAAGCTGAAGTCAGGAAAAAAGAAATCAAGGGAAGATTTGATAGGTAAGCAAAGCAGTTGTAAAGTAGCAGGGCGGCCAATGAGTTGAAAAGTCCTATGGTGTGTTTCGATGCCTGGGAATTTGGCCCAACTCATTTGGTGAGCATGGAAATGAGTGCCAAGAATTAAACTATCTGACAAGGAAACAAACAGATAGACTGAAGAACAGAGTGGGATTTACTGCCTGAACTGATGGATATTTGGACTGATATATAGATTCAAAATACAAGGAAGCTACTTCACTATACTTCTAACAAGCTAGAGTTTGGTTTTGTTCTTTGATACCCCCCACTGAACCAGCCTCCAGCCTTTTATGGTAATGGAACTAAGAACTGTCTGGAATAAGAAAACAGGATTAAACTATTGCTATTACAAATGTTTGGTGCTAAGCAAAGAGAAAATCAAAGATAGCTATGACTTCCACTTATACTTTGAACTTGCCTGAAAACACAAATATACTGAACTTCTAGACATTTGCACTCACAAAGTGACGAAACTGAATGCCAAAACTTGATAGTTGCTGAGAATGAGCATCTTTGTTGAAAACTAACTAATTTCCTTACTAAGCTTGAGAGATTAAGCCTAACCCACACATAGTGAAACAAGGCTGGGAAGCAATGAGCTCCCTGCCATTGCCTGCCCTCACTGAAATTGCTAAACTACTTCCTAAACCTAGCAAAAAAAAATTTATATAACTGCTGGAGACTAATTCACCTCCCATCTCAAGATGAATATGCGATTCCTTTAATTGCTGTGGGAACATTATTGCAAATTTGCAAGACGCAATGGCAGTGGCTTTATCAGATTTCAGTTGCAAAATAGCTAATCACAGGATTTCAGGCTTAAGGTAAGCATAATTTACTTGAATTAAATTAGAAAAAGGAAATTGACCTGATAAGCTGCACACCTGTGGCCTACCCGCTGCTAATATGGAGCACAGAGCTTTAAAACTCTGCCACACAGGCCACGCCGGACACTGCTACGTGCTGGAAAGTGAGAGCACCAGCAGCCGAGGGTCGCAGCCTCACATACTATGGGCATGGAGTGAGTGCAGGCCAAAAAAGAATGACGAAGGGAGCAGTGGCGGAGCTCATCAATTTTGAAGCCTAGGGCCACTATCAAAGCATATATACCATCTGCACTGGGTCAAAATACAGCTCGCACCAGATCTAATACTAATAGATAACAAAAACAGTTCTAATATTTATGGTTCTTTGACAACTTGTGTTTCTTCTACTACTTCTGATTGTGCTTGTGCAGAAAGTTTTGTTTGTGACAATGGCTGTATTATTGGCGTAGGAGCAGCAGAAAAAAAAGGATTTTAATGTCTTGGTCCTCTTTACCGCGCAACTCTATAAAAATGTACCTAATCAATTTATCATTCATGGAATGTTTAGATCGGGAAGAACCAGAGAATGGATTTGAGAACGGGAACAACAATTTACTAGGGCTCAGACAGTCAGATGAGTAGGCGCTCGGATCCTGCGGCCAAAAAGCTAATATTTGACATGTATCGCATAGTTGAAATTTCACAATATATAGGAAATATATAACACATAATTGAGCATGAATTGAAATTGTTTACCACATATTTGAGTATTTGACTAAGTAATTTGGGGACAAACTCCAACTCAGACTAAGCGATTCACAAATGTCTCAATTTGAACTTACAGAATGATGAGGGAAATTCGGACTCGCTGCTACGCTGGTGCTGCCGCCCTCTGCGTCCGCCCGACGCGCGGCCCCGAGCGCCCCTGCCGCTGCCGGTGAGCCCCCGTCGGCGCCGACACGCTCCCGGCTGCAGTGGCGGCTCGCGGCTGCCCTGCGCCCAGCGCCCCTGCCCGCCACCGGCCGCCGCGACGACGCCTTCTCCCCTGCTGCTGCGCGGTGCCGGCAGGTGCGCCCGTGCCGCCACCTCCTGCTCGCTAGGGTTCAGCCGTTCGTAGGGCGAGTGCAGCTTTTTTTTTTTTTTTTTTGGGCTGCTGGGCCTCGTCGGGCCTTTGGGTGGGGGAGGAAAACGAGTAAAAATATGTTAACTTGGGCCTTGCCGACCACCCAACTCGCCGCGCTGATGGCGACCTGCATCTGCATCCTCCTGGCCTCGAGCGCTCGCTCACCCGGTGCAGTGCAGTGCAGGCGACGTCACCACAAAGGAGGTCTGGGGAGCAGCGGAACGGAAGTACAGAGAATGAAGCGGCGGCCAGGTAGAGAGGTATTGGAAACAAGGCCTTCAGGCACCAAGAAACCACTTCTGGTTTGGTATCATATAATCATAATAATAGAACGAAAAAAAGGAAACAGCATAATGCGCCCGGAAGAAGAGCAGTGATCGATGTAAAATGATAAAACTACAAGGTTGCAAGAACATAAGATCATTATTTAGATGCAAAAGTGTAATTATAGCTATAGAACTAGGTAACCAAAGCAACTGTTGTTTGAAATATCCCTCAAAAAAACTATGCTTTGAAATTAATATAGCTAGCGCTAATTCTGTAACCAAAACAATTATGCTTTGAAATATAGCAAGTACTAGTTACGTAACTAAAATAGTTGATGGTACGTTCAAAATGGGCAGAGACAGTGCCATTTTTTTGTGCACACGTGCATGTGCTGCCATGTGGGAACTTGGCCTGTGGACATAGTTTGAAGTGTGAACTTACCATAAATAAATTCCAAACAATTGCAGTGATATGAATGTGGCATGTTAAATTTGTTGATCCCCTTGCACTCTAAAAACATATAGGAATGTGCATCAAGGTCCAAATCAAATGGCCAATCTGTGCCAAGCAAAATCACTGATACCACCTTGCAGCATGATGAACGGATAAGTATTATCCAACAGAAAGAGTCAAACACTTCAGGATTTAAGCATCAGCAACATCAGACGTCAGATAAAAATTTGACATCTCCACTCCACAGTTGAGTGCTATAATAACATATTCCACATAGAAGGCATGTAACAGCATCCAAAAGAAGAAAAAATGAAGTAAAAACTGCATCATGGTGATTTGTTCATCTTGCGCTGGGCAACTTCGGGGTGTCTGGGAATCTGCAAAGTAAACAGCATCATCAACTCACTAGCCTTTTAGTATTCAACAGCGCAAAGGATAATATATACCAATTTTCAGCCATTCAACAGTAAGCTGGCTATTCCTAGTTTTGCTCTTCTGAATCAGCACTTCTAGTTTTGTGCCAGCTGGATAAACGGTTTGAAGGTACCATGATGGACAGAAAAAATGAACTAAAATAATTAGAACATAAAGAATGTGCTTAAGCTCCAAAACAGACTTGAATGTGTCCATGTACAGTTAATAGCTATTAAAAGAAAATAATAAAGCGGATGGTCACAAATCACAGAACACTATCCACAAATTGAGCACAGCAAAGGAAAATTACTTCATGCTGCAAAGAGAAACATGCACAAAAAACCAAAAGGCAGGGAAAAGAAATGCTGGTTACTCCATGGGAATATGGTAGTTAGAAAATAATGTAGAAGGGAAAGCATGATGTTCAACTAGTGGTTGATATGGAATCACTGTAATCGGTGCCTTCGATGGAACTTCACCTGATGTGCTAAATGTTATGTCCTCGGCCATTGAAGAGGTGAGGCTTTGGAGTCTAGCTGGAGCTTAGGGCATCATTTTTGCTGACTGCTCCGCTGCTTGGCAGTGACTAGATCCTATGTGTGTGTTCTGGTGGTCGCCCTTCCTAGTTTTTTTCGTCCGTCTACCCCTACTTTGTTTCTAGAGAGTGAGAGAGAGACTTTGTGTGTCTGCCCCGGGCCTCATGTTAATATAAAGATACGCAGCTCTCATGCGTGTTCGAGAACAAAAAGCATAATGTTTGACTAAAGTACAAAACTACATCCGCAAACTTGGTGTATTGACTAACAAGAAACATTCAGAATACTAAAGAAGTTGATGATAGGAATGGGATATAAGAATGTCATACATGTGCTGAAATGTTTAATTGCAAACTTGGTGGATGTCCACTTAGGTATCTCAGGTATCAGTAATGGTTTTGGACTGCATGTTATTACAGGGATAAATTAGGTGAGAAGCTGATGAAATGGTTGATGTCTTATAGGAGGGCCACTATCCCTAGGGATTCAAAATGGGTTGATCGATCCATGCTTAACTAATGTGCCTATGATCGTATGTTGACGAAACAAGCTACTAGGGTGACACCATTTCAAATGTGTGTTTCAAGAGTTGCTTAAATTTTTAGAACTTCTGTATGGACTCGAAGCGTTTCCAGTTCAGTATAGAAGTTCTAAAAAATTAACTGAAAACGCAGTATGAACTGTCAGAACCCATGGATGGTGAAGAAAGGAAAAGAACAAACGAGAATAGGATGGCAAAATGGTTTCTTGGATTACGATTCCATCTATCCCTACCTGGTCGGGTCCAAGTTGCTCCATTTCACTCACCCTCTGCTCGAGTTCTCCATAGGGTTATGCGTGCAACCAAAGCAGGGGTGCCATGGAGGAGGAGAGGATTGGGTGCGCAGGCGGAGTAGAGGTGGGGCGCATGGAGGAGTGAATGGGGTGAGCGCAGGGAGAGCAGAGATGGTGCGCCATGGAGAGGGTGAGCAACAGATGGGGTGCGCAGGCGGAGGAGAGGCGGCACGGCTGCATGAGAATGAGGATTGGCTGCTGGGAATCGGTGGTGGTAGATCACCATTGGGTTTTATGGTGTTCCGAATAGATGGGCTATGGGCTTCACCCTTAGTGGTCTGAGTGGGCTGTTATGGCATTGCTCTTCCTTTTCTATTTATTCTCACACATTTATGCAGTTAAATCAATAGATATGTAATTAATCTTTAAACACTTAATCAAGTTTAATCTACATTTAGGCATCCTAGACGCTAATCAGTGTCTTAGCGCCTAGCGCCTTTTTGAACCATATCAGTGGCAATACTGAGTAAATACCTTCAACTTA